AACTCCCAGCCCATATGAGTTCAAAACCACGCTTTTCATGGGAGTTTTTCGAAACTCATAGACTATTCCTGAACGACACAACAATCCAGGATTTTCCGGAATGTTATAGAATATTCCGGAATGCTTTCGAATATGTTCTGAACTGCCCCAGAACTTTCTGGAGAGCAAAACTTCTAGCCCCCTCATATTTTCAGAAGCATCCCCATTAAATGACAACGATAGCTTTCTTTATGAACAAGCTGATGTTACAATATGACATAAGAAATAGGCATACATGTTCTGCTAGTAATGTATAAATCAAAATCTATAATACCACGATTTCCCGCCAGTAACTCACCGTGATACTTTGTCGATGAAATATCAAGGCAAGAATGCCGTAACACGAGCAAAAGAAAAATGTAAATCCGATTCTGTGGAGATCCATAAGCCACATCTTTTAGCGAACGTTTTTCTTTTCGTATATTTAGGGACGATAATAGTCGGAAATATCATAACAGCCAAATCTGAGATCCCCTTTCATATTCCCACTCAATTCTTGAAACCAGTAAGTGAAAAGGAAGTGGGTCTTTTGCATTAGACCAGAGAGAGCGGACTGGTGATTCATAGCAAGGACGATAAGTTATAAGTGCCTGAAGAGAAGTGAAATTTCTCACGCTTTTTAACGACCCCAACACAGGGGCAAAAGGTCTCTGTGCACTCCACTAACATTTCTTAAGAGATGACTTTCAATTTCAGACTTTACATAATATATTTAGTGAGGCGTGAACCGCGGCAAGAGTAGATGTGTTGCTGAAATTCATTCCCCTTGGCGATAAAACTTTGAAGCACAATCAAATTACTCACCATATTGTGGCACGGGTGCGAACTCGGAACTGATAACGAGAACCTTGAATTGATTGACTAGGTGACTTTTCTAAAATGCTAAAATTGGAATTGTTTCAAAGTTCCTCGTAAGCGATAATCGGCCGTGTTTCTGACAAATCCCGACATGGTGCCATGACGGTAATGGCTTAAAAGGAAAGTTAGTCAAATGTGCATAACGTGTGTTTATCAACAAAGATTTACATCATTTTTGACGTTAACTTTTTCTTCTCAACTTTCCTCATCTTACATTTAACTTTTATCAAATATCACGGTAATTGAATAAAGTTTATGCGGAAAGTCCTCCATGCGATATTATCTCAATTTGAATCGAATATCTCATGAATTCTCGAGGCATTTCAGGGAAAGTGCGTTGTATAGAAATATGAAAATGTGAAGAGTACAAAAAAGTAATTTCCCCTCGTTCGTTTTCATTGGAAAGTCAACAAAACAAAAAATGTTGAAATTGAAAATACCGGCCATAATTAGTAAACGCAAAATATATAATTGCAGGGTTTTTTTTGTCTACGAGTTGAATTCTTTTTGTCTCTACAGGGTGGTAATTAGTAGTTTCGAATATATTTCCTAAATGAACTCCATCATAACGTTGTCAAATCAATTTTTGTTTCCACAGAGATATACAACTACTCAGCAGATTTTCCCGAGTCACGAATGAAAATCTGCTATAACTCATTCAAATTGAAAGGGTCATATTTTAAGGAAAGATTACTTTTTGGGGGAAAAGATTTTTGACTTTCTGCTTACCCATCTTTCCACAAAAATGGGGGGAAACTTCCAAAACCAATTAAATTAAAAAAACTCTTTATAAAGATATGTAGATCATGCGAAGAAGTCACTTTCAGATACAAACTAAAGAGAAACCCTCGAAACGAGACCTTTCATAATAATATTGAATTATTCCAAAATCCCTTTTTTTCTATTCAGTCCGTACTCCAAATATTCGATGAAATATGAAATTGAATCAGATATCATCCATAGAAACACTACACAATATAGTATATCAAAGTGTTACGACATGAAATTTCACTTACATGGAACACTAATATCTCGCTTTCCATCTGGAAGTAACTTCTTTACATGATCTACACATCTTTGTAGAGTTCATTTTGAACTTAATTGTTTTCGTCCATTCCTTGAAAGTTTTCCTCAATTTTTGTTAGAAGATGGAGGAGGAAGAAAGCCAATGAATAATTCATCAATTTCTAGTGAAATTTCTAGGTAGCCGAACTTAAAAAATGATTCGTCAGAATTTTTTCCGTTACCTAGCTATCCACATTAACGAAAAGCAACCCTCAGAAGTGTGAAATTGAGCATGCTGAGGATTTACAAGGTCTTACCGTCCAACGTGTGATTCTTAGCAGGGATTGAACGATACGCAGTGAACGATTGTTCGACAGTTGGCATTGCATCAACGTTCATATAGCGATTAAATGAGTCGAACAAATCACTAATAAAAAAAGCACTTTGTGAACTGAAACTAGTTATTCATTTGTACACTTATCAGACAAAGCACCAAACGCTCTAATGGGAGCTATAAGTTAATTATTTAAAATAATAATGGAGTTTTTTCCCAACACTAAACCGTTATTTTAACACCTCGACACGTGTTTCGATCACCAAGTGATCATCTTCAAGAGGAAGATTAAACTGAGACGGGAGACAAGTTCCTTTGATATTTCTTCAATAACTGTTCAATGCCACAAAAATCCAGGCATCAGTTTTCTCCAAGAAGATAAATGTCTCCGAACCGGTTATAATAATATCAGATCAGACAATTCCGCTGTCTGCTTCGATTAGTTTGTTGGGGGTTAACATGGACACCAATATGTCTTGGCACCATCATGTCACTGGAATAGCAAAGGTTGCTTCTCAAAAGCTTGGAACACTGTTCCGAAACAGAAAACTGTACACACCTCAGCAACTTTTGATGCTTTATATAGCTCAGATCAGATCTTCTGGAGTATTGTTCTCATGTATGGAGCTTTGCCCCCAAACATACCCTGAAGTTGCTGGATTCCATCCAGAAAAGAGCCGTCTGCCTGATTGGAGGCGCGAACATCACTTGCAACCTTGATGGTCTAGAACATCAAAAAAAGGTTGGAGATTTGTCTCTCTCTTATAGATACTTTCACAGGAGATGTTCAAGTGACTTGGCACATTTGATTCCACCAAGAGCGGTACATATCAGAAAAAAGTGACGGACTGTGGCTGCTCATTGTTTTGAGGTTCAACTCAGTACACCTCAAACTTCATTGTTTGAGAACTCTTTTATCTGGAGAACTGCGTTTATGTTTTAGGATTGGCCAGTTACAAAAATTATGCTAATCAAGATTGTTCTCTACGAGAAATTGACCACGGAATGGAGATTTCTGTAAAATCCACCAGAACTATTCTAAAAAAGAACAAATATAAATGCTACAGGATACGCGAAGTTCATCACTTCAATAAAACGGATTACGGAAGGAGAGTACGATTTGCAAAGTAGTTCAGACGTAGAAATAGGGAAGTTGAAAATATTTGTAAAAAAATATAATCGACGGACGAATCAAAATTCACCAACAATGGTTGGTTCAACAGAAATATCCATTATAGGTGGAATAATACCAATGAACATTTACATAGGGAAACCAATTTTCAAGAAAGGTTCGGAATTGTGGGAACAAACATTCCTGGGCCTTTGTTTTACGATGATCATTTGAATAGTGAAATGTATCTTCATCTTCTATTCAATGAATTCGATGGCTATTTAGATGAATTGCCACTGAATATCCGCCATGAAATACAATATTTTCAGGCGGCGTTTCTCCCCATAATTCAGCAATGGTAAAAGGGCACATTTAGATGCAATAGTCCCAAGAAAATGGATTGAAAAAGCACAATGGACCAATTAACTAGACAGCTCAATACCCAAATCTTACTCCTTTAGATTTTTATCTAGGAATACATAAAGGATGAAGTTTTTTCAACACCAAATACTGATCTCAAACAAAAAATAAGAGATGCATGTATTATTAATACACCTATTATGCTAGAAAGTTGCCACAGAAATTGTCTGGACCGACAACTTATGTGCATTCACCAAAGAGGTCGTCAATTCGAGCATTTAATGTAGATTGCCATGTAGCTTTTTCCCAAAAGTTCATGATAAAATTAACTGTTTTTCTGTTTAATTGATGTCACTGATGAAGGTGGCTATTTCAAATAAAACGCTATAAAAATATCAAATGTGATATACGCTTGGATTGTGAATTTATCGCTTCATCAATATCTGTAATAGAAAAGACAGGTCCGTATTTAAAAAAAAATTGATGGTGGCCATGTTGACACGAAACGTTTTATCGAATATTCATTATTACATCGTCATAGTACACTTCGAATACAATAACATTTTCCTTTTCCATTTTCCGTATTTAAAAAAAAGTTGATGGTGGCCATGTTGACACGAAACGTTTCATCAAATATTTATCATTACATCGTCATAATACACTCTGAATACAATAACATTTTCCTTTTCCATTTTTTGATATTCTCCGAAATAACAATTCCGTTCGAAAAACATCATTTTTGGTTTTCCCCGTATAACTCGAGAAGGGCGAGAGTCTCCGTATATTTTTCTCGACCATTGTATTGTTCCCGATGACAGTAAACTTTTTTCCCATTTAATCGTCTTCGTATCTGTTACGGTTTAGAATATAGCAATGTTACCACATGATAAAAGAAACGGCCTGTATAGCCTGAATTAAAATATTTTGTGAAACATCAAAATAACTTATATAAAAGTAGAATTCTCAATATGATGCTTGACTACTACTGTGACCATTATTCTATCATGTTATATTTTTCAATCATAATCTTGTTTCAATTTATGTGAGACCGTCCTTCTTTCTTGCCCCAATGAACAATGTATTAGAATTTCCTCAAAAACATACATGCTTCGAGCGAAGGCCCAAACTCAAAAATGAACACGTGGTGGACATTCCACACCCCCAACAAGGAACCCTGCAAATTACTCCCATGTAGTGGCTAGTACGGCATGTTTGTACACCCACTAAAACGTTCTCCAATTTGACTCACTAAATGCTCTTAGATACTAATTAGTTTAACGATGGTTGTTCCAGTTCACCCGCTGATTCAAGTTCGAAACCAACTAGTGGGAGCCCCTGTAAACACGGATGTCACCCTACAGTGTCACGTCGAGGCGTCCCCAAAAGCAATCAACTACTGGACTAGAGAGAGCGGTGAGTAGAGAAGTCTCAGTCGAGAATACTCGACAATTCACTGACCGGCACTCAAACTGTGACATCGAGATATGTTCCTCAGGGATATTCCTTCAGTTTCATTACATTTAAATATTCAATTTGGTTTTCTTATACAGTGCATTCCATTAAAAACGAGCCACCCTGAATAACTTTTGGTACAATGATTCGCAGGAAAAATAAAAACCACGTAAACAATACTATACAGGGGGACGCATTTTGACATATTCACATTTGATGTTTTCGGTTTATATTTCAATTAACAACTGAGCAATAGCAATTGAAAATGTGAGATCGCCCGCGGTACATTTTGACGTCGCACCAGACAACGAGCTTCGAGCGGTGGCAACCGGGCCCGTAGTTGGAGATTATGAATCGCTGCTATCGTCAATTCAATTCAATTTTCTTCAAAGTAATGTATATATCAATTCTGGCTAACTGAAAGTTCTATAATAAATAAAGAGTACCTTGGGATTACAAGACATAATTTTGGATTTTTCTCTATGACGTAAATATATCTTCGCTCAATATTGTTTTTCAAATTCCAATTTTCAACTAATATTCCAGACAAAGTAGAATCTGATGATCAGGGTCGTGGACTGTCACGGTAGTGTTAATGAAACGATTCTGTCGACTAGAAAACTGTCACTGAGAGGAAGAGCAACTTTTGGGAAAGTAAACCTGAAACGTTCTTCACCCGATATAATATGTCTAGTAATATGCCCATAATATCTGCTGAATACTGGCCGAAAAACAACTTTTACCTCACAGTCGATAGTCTTGCAGATGCTCTTTGTTTTAGAGTAACAGGTTCTGGAAATAATCGATAAAATCACCTACAGATCGGTTCCGAGATATTACCCATCATCAGTGCAGGAAAGACCCAACAGCAATGTACCTGAAACTCGACTGACTTCAACCTCGCTCGACTGCCTATACGAAACTTACATCTGAGAGAAAGATTTATTAACAGCTCCATCTCGTGAACAAAGTCGTAAAAGAGCTAAATGAACATCCCATGTACCAACATTCTAATGTATACCAAAATCAGTTTGATGATGTGTCGAGGAGTTCCTGGTAATTACTTGCTGGAAAACAACTCGCATAAATGTCTGTTGTATATAATTCAGTGTGCGTCTGGGTTTTCACCTGGGAAAATAATTTTGATGGGAAGGTATTTAGCAGATCCTACTGAGAAGGGAGAGGTGAATGTTTCAAAATTTTACTTCCAAATATTCACTTTCTCATAGAGAAGAGATATTTGGATATACTTTCAAATCCCATCAAACTCGATCATTGTTCAAGAATCAAAAGATCAGATGATCAGTATATAAAGTTTGCCCTGAAAGAAGACATTTTAATTCTCAACAGGATGATGCGCCTCCCCATTTGTAGAAAAAGAAGATCACCAAATTTTACGCTTTTTTCGTCAAAGGGGGATTCACATTTTTCAAAAAAAGATGTGTGGCCTGCTTGAAGATGTGCCTGAGGGTAGTATTTCAATGCTTTTTTTTTCTGATTGGTCCGGCTGTTACTCTATGAAGATCCATAGTAATTTCATAAACTACACCTAACGATTTGATCTCGTCAATGCATCATTGTCTTTCATATTTTAATACATTATCATAACCTTTAGAAGAGAAAGGTTTTGGCATTCTACTTCTCCATATTTATACAAAAATATGTAGTAATCTATCAATTATGTGAATATCTCTTTTGGTTTTCTGAATATCGTTTATAAGGTATATA